GGGGGGGGGGGGGGGGGGGGGGGAGGGGGAAAAAAAAGGAAAGTTGGGGAGTAGTCGTGTTCGTTTTGTGCGTGATTTAGAACTAGCGTTGAATAGATCTTTCTTTTATTTTTTTTAGAAGTGCTTTTTTGGGTAAGTTAGGCATTAAGCATTGATCATAGTCAAAATTTTCTTTCTATCTTCAGTTAACGACATATTAAGTAGCTGCTTTCTGTTTTAGCCGAGCGTTATTAAAATGACATTTTTTTATTCTAATGAGCATGCAACGTACTTCACTTTTGGTTTCGAGGAAGGAAAGTCAGAACGGTTTTGATTATTATTTTTTATTTTTATTTTTTTGTTTTGGAGGGAGGCGAAATAGAATGCGGTGCTTTGATTAATGTTTGTATATTTATCAGAACTTTTATACATGTGTGAATACGTCTTGATGTCTTTAGTGAATTTTAGAGCTGGAACGATTGGTGGTGAAAAAATGTTTTGCGTAAAGTTAGGTTAATGTTGATGGTGTTTTTTTTATTTTGTGCTTTGTTTTTGAGTTGTGTTTTGATTTTAAAATGTTCATAATTGTTAGTTAAGAAGTAGGTGCTTTGTGGATTGTTTTATTGAACTCTAATTAAGGTTGTTGTCGTTGTTGAATTCTTTTTATTTTGCGTGTATATATTTGTTGCAAGACAAATTCGTTTTTGCTCATATTTCTTTTCATTATCATTTGCTTGACTAAGTCGTTTTGTTTTTAGTGGACAGAAATATCGACGTTTAGTATTCTGTTGCTGCAAACACTGAATTTCTTGTTCATGATTAGTTTAGGTTAACCCAAGTGGTGGAAAGGTCGGTATTAAAAAATGTATTCTAAACTTGTGTCGCTTAGTTTGAATAACAATGCTATGTTGTTTACGGGCGATAGGGAGCGTTGAATGCGATGTGGAATTTTTTTCCAATTTTTTTGAAAGGAAAAATTTGACGTACATAGAGAAACAAGTGTGACACAATGGGTTGTTTAAAGATATATGGGTTCGGGAG